CCAAGGAGATGGTCGAGATCCACGTCGGGTCAGAGGCCGCAAAGGCACGACTCGGTCCAATGCTGCGGCGGCAGTTGTCTCCCAAGCCGCCGCCTGATTTTCCGCCGAGTCGTGGACCAGATCCTCCGGATATGGCCCAAGCTCCGTCAGGAACCTCTCGGGGTCCATCAGTCGCCTGGGACGGAACCATCTGGGCAATTTTACATAAAAGAAATACCCTTTTTTGACTGAAATACTAATGCAGAAGAAGATTTATTTTCACTGGGATATATTAGAAAATATTAAGTTTTACTTTTCAACAGAAAAGATTCCAAATGAATTCTGCTCAAAAAGCCAAAGAAGTTTGGGAAAAATTTAAAGGGAATTTCAAAGAAATCTAAATGGAGGTTGTAGAGAAGACTGCCTTAAAAATACAACAGATAATTTTTTTTTTTTAAAAAAAAAGATAACTGTTAATTAGGTGCTGTGGGTTTGATTTTTAAAGGAAAATCTACTTTCTTCCAAATGAAGAATAAACAAAATATCACTAAAAAAAGAATAGGTTGTGAAATACTATAAAGAAATTAATAGAATTTTTTTAAAAAAGAATTTCCAAAAGCGGTACTGATTTAAGAATGTTCTGTCATATAAGCAAATCTTTTATCAGAGAGTATTTTACACAAAATAGTGTTAAAAGGAAGGTTCAAGTAAAAATGCAAGTTATTTTGAATGAGAAAGAGAAAAAGGGAAAAATTAAAGATATTGCCATAAAAATCACATCAAATTAAACTTAAACAAAAAATATCAAATTAAACAAACCAATAATTATCTATGTTAACAGTAAGAGAAATAGAAATTAAGATGAACTATGCTAAACAAAAGAACTTTGAGTTTACAAATAAACTAGGAAAATGGTTATTGTATTAAGAAAACAGAAAGAAAAAAAGATGATTTTCAAATTTCAAGAGAGGAATATTGTATTAACAATGTGGTTATCCCAAAAAATTTCATCAGTATTATTTTAGAATAGAATAGAATAGAATAGAATAGAATAGAATAGGAGCTGGAAGCGACTTGGACGTCTTCTAGTCCAGCCCCCTGCTCAAGCTATATCGTAAAAGACAGGTGGATGTCCAGTCTCTTCTTAAAAATCTCCAGTGATGGAGTGCCCACGATTTCTGGGGGTAAGTTGTTCCACTGGTTGATTGTCCTCACTGTCAGGAAATTTCTCCTTAGTTCCAGGTTGCTTCTCTCTTTGGTCAGTTTCCAACCATTGTTTCTCGTCCTTCCATCTGGTGCTTTGGTGAACAACCTGGCCCCCTCTGTCTTGTGGCAGCCCCTCAGGTACTGGAACACTGCTATCATTTCTCCCCTATTTCTTCTTTTCTCAAGACTAGCTAGGCCCAAATCACGTAGCCATTCTTTGTATGTTTTAGTTTCCAGGCCCCTGAACATCTTAGTTGCTCTTTGAATTTTTTCCAACCCCTCATCTTTTTTGTGATATGGTGACCAAAATTGGCTGCAGTATTCTAGCTGTGGTCTTACTAAGGCTTTATAAAACGGTAATATTACTTCTCGTGATCTTGGTTCTATGCTTCTGTTTATACAACCCAGGATTTTGTTAGCTGTTTTGATTGCTGCTGCACACTGCTGGCTCATAGTCAAGAAATTGTCCACAAGAACTCCAAGGTCCCTCTCACAGTCACTTCTTTTTGAGCCAGGTCTCGCCCAATCTGTATTTGTGCCTTTATTTTTTCCTGTCTAAATGTAAGACTTTGCTTTTCTCCACACTGAAATTCATTTTGTTGGATAGGGCCCATTGTTCAAGTTGATCAAGATCTTTTTGGATCCTGTGTTTGTCTTCTGCTAATTTGGTGTCATCTGCAAATTTGATGAGTTCCCCTTCTATTCTCTCATCTAAGTCACTGATGAAGATATTGAAGAGTACTGGACCTAAGACGGAACCTTGTGGTACCCCACTGCTTACTTCTCTCCATGTGGATGTAGTGCCATTGAGGACTACTCGCTGAGTACGGTTTGTTAGCCAGTTACAGATCCATCTGGTATTGATGTCTACCTTGTCAAATGCCTTACTGAAGTATACCAAGTATACTATGTCCACTGAGTTTTGCTGGTCTACTAGTTTAGTCACTCTATCGAAGAATGAGATGTATTTGTTTATGTATATCCCGCCTTTATTATTTTCATAAATAACTCAAGGTGTGAACATATCTATCACACTTTTCTCCTCCTATGTTCCCCATAAAAATAATCCTCTTAAGTGGGTTGGGCTAAGAGACAGTGACTGGCCCAAGTCAACCAGCTGGCTTTCACTATTTTTAAAAAATTACTGAGAATCAAAGATAGATTATGGATGGACTTGTAACAATAAGGGAAGTTTCTGAAGCTATAAAAAAGATTAAACAAGGAAAAGTACCAGGACTAGATGGTCTACCACAGGCATGTCAAACTCGCGACGTCACATGACATCGCACAATGTGTTGGGACTTTCTCCCCATTGCCGGCAATGGGGTTGGCGCGGTTTCGGTGTGACACATCCAGCTTGTGGGCCGGCAATTTGACAGGCCTGGTCTACCAGGTTCTCATTATAAATGTTTTGAGGATGAACTTTTGCAGTCACTCCAAAATACGATGAACTCTATCTTACAGGTAGATAAGGTACCAGAATCTTGGAAAGAGTATTAATATATAGTATTAATATATAGTATTAATATCTAAACAGTGACAAGATTTAACTTCAACAAAAAACTATAGTCTGATATTATTGAACACTGATTATATGATATTTACAACCATCTTAGCACATAGATTGAAAATAATTCTACAAGAATTTATTCATGGAAACCAATGTGGATTTTTTCCTACAAGATAATTAAAAGATGTCAGAATGGTATTGGACATTATAGAAGAATTCCAATATGTCACCATAAATTAATGATTTATGCTTAGTTATCATTTCTCTTCTATAATGTGCTTCTTCAAGTAACAGCCATAAAGTATTTTTGGATACAATGTAAGTTTATATGAGGGTGAAGGTTCGTTCTCCGAGCTTATGGGTTGGTTTCCGAACATTTCGTTACCAGACTAGGTAACATTTTCAGCGGTGTTTAGTGGAGATCTGTGTCAGTGTTCTACTTATATAAGGGCTTCAGATATGGGAGTGTTAGTTAAAAACCAGGATCCATGAAGCAGTCAAACTCCAAACTCCACAATCCCAAATCCCTAATCCCAATGACACCAAACAACACCAGTTCAATTGGAGCAACACTAAAATCATCTGCCACACTACCACCCACCACGCTTGGGAGTTCATTGAAGCCTGGCACACCACAAGCAATTCCATCAACAGACATTTTGATCTACAACCAGCATATGAACTCCTCAGAATCCAAATCAATCAAACAACCATCCAGAGACACTACCAACCCTCAAGCCCCTCTCCCCCCCCAGCAATTCACCTTCCAATGACCCTGACCTATAATCTCCCCATCACAAGACCCATTACCAGCCTCCCACTGATGACTCACTCCTGGCCCACTAATTCATACCCTCTAACGACCTTTACCTGAAGTACCTCCCCATCACAAGCCTCTCTCTGATGACTTACACCTGGCCCATCACAAGATCCTCACTTGACACTCCCACATCTGAAGTCCTTATAAGTGGAACACCGACACAGACAGCTGAAGATAATCTGGTAATGAAATGTTCAAAAGCCAACCCTAAAGCTCAGAGAACGAACCTTCACCCTCATCCTACACCCGAGCTACAGATATTCGCCACTATTATAAGTTTATATTTATTCCAAACTGTCAATGTAGCATGTCTAATAAAATGATTTTTAAAATCTACCTTAACCTTAACTTTTTGTTTTGCTTTCTTTTTCATTGTTTACTTCTTTCTTTCTTCTACTTTAATTATTAGTTTTTATTTCTTTATTTAATTTTTTAAATAAGGTTATAAAAAAAAATCAGTTCTCAGTATGTTTCAATGAAGAATAAAAATGGAACATATCTAAAATGATCTCTGTGCTTAAAAATTTAGTGAGCTGAAAGTATTTTTAAAAAGTCATCATTTGTTGTAAAAATGTACATGATTTTAGTAAAATTCAACTGTTTTAAAATGCATCAGCACTCACTTGCTGGTGAGTAATCTCATCACCATCCAATCTCGAGGAAAGACACTCATCTTCATCAGATTTCGAAACACACAGAAAATCTTCAGAAGAAATTCCTAGTAAAAACCAAGAAAACAATGTTAAAACATTACTAGCTATGTGTTTTGAAGCAAATATGCACCTTCAACAAGGGAAAGAAAAGTTGTAAGTTGCAAAATGGGATGAAAAATCGCTTACAGATTTAAGAAGACCATGGCAAACTATTTTTGAAAACTCTAGGAACTTTCCAAAATTGACTCAAAATAAATCAATAAAAGATATAAAGAAGAATGATTATCAGAATCATCTTCAGGGAATAGCTGCTGCACACTAGTCAAAGATAAGAAAAAGTATTTTATAATAGAACCCCCTTGGAATCCCCTCCGGATTGCTAACCATTTTTTTCAAAGGGAACGTAATTTATTTTTTAAAAATAAAATCCAAACTGCCTTATGATCTGTCATCTTAATAACAATGGGCATATGTGCTGTATCTGGATTAGGTTAGAATTTGTTTCTATTATTGACTAGGAGTACACTTAGATCTCCTCAAACTCATAGTATCATAAAATTCAATGTCACCAGCATATTAATAATATCAAATTCCAAATTTCTAAATGCTGAATCCTTATGATATATAGTGTATGGGAGAGTAACATGAAACCTTGGCCACAGCTTCTTGCCAATTAGCATTAAAACATGTGGGAATTTAAGAATCAGCTGGTGGAACTTCTAAATAGTATAGCCTCTACTTTTTACCACCTTCCTGTCTGTATTGTTTTTCCTCTTATAAGGTTCTATATCTATCTTTACATTACTATTCATATAGGAAATCTGCCAAGACTAAAACATTCAAGGACAATTCTTTTAAGTTACGTAGTCAACATCAAACTGAAAACTTGTAAAAATATTATTTATATATCACTTCACATTTAATAAATATGTTAATTTAAAGTATTAAATATTTAATACATATTTTATTTTAAAATATTTTAAATCATTCTTTGGGTGTTTACCTTTCTATGGGGAGTTCACTGATAGCAGAATTACAATTAACAAAAGAACAAAAATATGAAGCATCAGTGAAATAATATCAACACAAAAGTAGCATAAGCATGAGTATTGTATCCAATAGATTCTAGCCTAAACACAGTAAGTATAATTAGATTCAACTCTATTAAATGATTCAATTATTTTTTTTAAAAAGCTATACATGTCAGGTGACACAGGAACATTTAACTGCTAATTGATTTGCAACCTCAGTATGCATCTGGGTCAGCTGCAATTTACATATCTACTGAATGCAATAGGCTCAGTTCCCAATCAAATATGCAGGATAAAATAAATAATATGGAATGGCTTTGAATCTGTGACAAAAGAGAAAGAACAGACTTCTATATAATCAAGATCATTCTCAGCATTCCAGAGATACAAGATGTACATCAGCACAAAAACACAGATTGGAAATATAACTAGAGTACATTTATAATCTTACCTTTAGCTCATCTTTACTCTGAAAATTTTCCAGTAGATGTTGAAAGTGAGTGTCGGACATCTGACGAAGTAGAGACAAAAGACAGGATACATATTCCCCCTGTTAATTTCAAAGAATAATTATTTTAGTGGAACAATCATATTCACAAGTCTAAATAAAAAATTAACTTGGAGGTATAGGAAAAAGTTGTAGGGACTGAAAATGGAGCAATGTTTATGAAATGAAACGCTATAAAATTTTCTTCATTCTTCTTCTCATGTCTGTACTTTTTAAATAAATTCATACTATGTAGAAAGTGTTTATATAGAGAGATGTGTAATGGTATGTGGGAATATCTTGGGGAAAGATGATAAGAGAGGCTGCCTAGGAAACAATCAGACAAAAGACGTAGGAATCCCCTTTCTCGGTCAGAGAAAGAATCCTAGAAAGGACCTGCCTAATGAGCAAGCAGGTAAAAGTGGCAGTGGGCAGTTTGTACTTGCAAGATTTTGTTAATATAGTCTTACAATAAAGTAGATTTAGCCCACATAGTAAACTGTCTAGTTTGAAGGAATCAGTGCTCAGTCATTGCAGGGTGCAAATATGCCTGACTGCCTTCACAGTGTTTATTCCTTTTATACAGGTATTCCAAATAGCATAAAGTAAGATGGCATCAGCATAGTAACAGCATTTCTATTGGTGAAACCCCTTGCCAATCCTTAAGAATATACTAGCTAGGAGGCCCCAGACAGGGAGCAGTTTTCTACCACCTCCTGTTGATGTAACCTAGCTGATATCATGTGAACCAGGTGATATCATGTACCAGCCTGGGGTAGTTTCCCACATTGCCATGGCAATGTGAATGGATGAGATCATGTAGAGAGAAGAGGCACGCAGGCTTTGGAGGGGCAGTTTGCTGCTCACGACCTCTACCTGACCCCCATCTCTACACTAGTTTACCCATGGGGGCTGACAAATAGCCACCAAATCAAATTAAAAATGGAATACAGAATAATTAGAGGCTTAAAGGATGAGAATTTGCTTTTCCTCTCTGCAATGGAAAATATTGTTTCTGTGAAAATTCATTCATTCATCCCTATAAATAGGGCTTTGAGTTTTTTCTATTTATCATAGCATGCAATACAGCATTGTTTTCTACCTTTCTCATTTCAGTTGAGGCTAAGTTCACACAACACACTATCCAACCTCATAACAATAATATGGCGTAAAATTCCAGTCATTTAATTTTTTACTTAAGCACCCGCTAATTATTGGAGCAAATGCCTTAGAAATAATTAAAAATATAATCCAGAATAATAGGCTAAATAAACGAACAGCAGCATGGCTACAGTTCTTAGCTTCACCCTGAGAGTTCAGGACAGTTATTTTTAGTTTTGTAGCACAAAGAAATGAATGAATGAACAAAGAATGAATGAAAAATGCAGTAAACTAGAGATGAGAGGATAGGGAAAGGGAGCAGGCTAGATAAGCAGGAAATAGAATTTGATGGTTAGTTACTAACAGTGATTTCAGCTGTGCATTGTGGACAACGCTGCCCTCTTACCGCCTCCTGAGATTGTGATTTACTCATAATAGTCAGAAGAGTTTGTAATAGTACATCCAGGAGGCTCTCCACCATCATTTCTACCTCCTCAATTACATCTGTCTCCTATAGTAAACAGTTAAAACATAAAGAGTTAACATCTTATAAGATTGAAATGAAATTTTTTGAAGTTGCTTTTGGCTGCCTGCTCATTCATTTATCTATGAGGTTTATAGTCTAGAAGACAAGATTGACTAGAGGACAGTGACTGTTTTCATGGGAACACAGGGAAAACTTGAAAATAGAGCCACTTAGTTCTATTATTATATTACTAGTATTTAGTTTGCTTTTATCTACTTTTCAACTAATAAAAGGCTCCTAGAGGAAATTATTAAAATTGCACTAGGTTTTGCTAGAACCTGCTTTCAAGACTTCCAATAAAGGATGTAAAACACAAGAAAGGAGAATAGGAAAGAAAAAAATGTATTACCCAAGTCAGGATATCTAAAAAGGTTAAATCATGGCAACTAGATCAAACTTTGGTCCAGTTGCCATGATTTCACCTTTTTAGATATTTTTGGCCTGGATGATTGAGTCTTCATTTACATACCTAAGTCAGGATGGTTAAAATATAAAAATGTATTTTAACCCATTTCATTCTAGGCTTAATGCCCAATAGTCATTCTTATCTTTAAAACCCATAATGATGCAGTCCTATGGTCCCAGATAGAGCATCCCAAGAAGTCATAGATTACATCAAAATTTCTCCTCAGAAATCATAATAAAGCCCCCCCCCTTTCTTGTTTTTAACACCATATTTATTTAAATCTACAATAATGGATATTTTGTACTCCTAGATCAAATGTTCTTATAATAATCTACTATCTGATTAAAGACAATTAATTTATTACCTTAATATTTTGCATTCAGTCCTGTTCACAAATAAAATTCTATGATTAGTATTATGCTCAGCTCTCCCTTTTAAAATATTTTCAAATGTAATATTTTGGGATATTGTTAAACTTCCTTTGGTATGTTTGATACTGTCTAAGATGTTATAGTCCAAACCTATTTTCAGAATTTGTACATCAGTGCTAATGTTTCTACTTAAATAGCCATCTTTGAAGGTAGATGGGAATATATTAAATGAACAATTTTAGTAATGTAATGTTATTGCTGTCATTAGTATTTGCTTGCTCAGCAGTACTATCTATCCAAAATAAGTTGAATAATTTTAGAAAAAAAATCAGGAAATTATTTAAGAGCCTAGGTCATACCATACAGTGGTCTGGATTTTATATGTTACACAGAATTTTAATCATGTTTATTTTTCTGCTAAAGATGCAGAACAATTCTATACAGGCTGGCCAGCAGCCATATATCTTCTCTCAAGTAAATGTTTGAAAACTTTGTTAAGCACAATAACTAATGCACAATTTTCTGTCCTTTATGTAAAAAAACATGCATTCAATAATCCATTATACTAATGAGAAGTAGGTCACAAACAACTATACTATGTTGCAAAAAACATATCATTTGAATTCTTCAGAGACAGATGATAGATAGATAGATAGATAGATAGATAGATAGATAGATAGATAGATAGATAGATAGATAGATAGATAGATAGATAGATAGATAGATAGATAGATAGATAGATAGATAGATAGATGATAGAAAGATAGAATGATAGACTTAGATTACCACGGAGCTAGTTTTGATG